GCTTTTCTCTTGTTAATCTGTCTTAAATCAACTTAATTTTTAGACCAGCCAATGACTGTAGAAGGGTAGAAGGAAAATTTTAACAGCCCCACAAGAGAAAAAGGCAGAGAATCTTGCCTCCAACTACCATCATCTTTCAAAAAAAGAAAAAAGGACATGTCAATACCAATAATCAGAAAGAAAGTCATCCTGGAAAAAAGAGCCCTTCACAGCTCACACGTTTGGATTCATGCAAAACGTGTCACGTTGTCCTGATTTTCACCACTCTGCTGAGGACCGACCAGACTCATTACGGTGCAGCATCTGGCCAGGCTTGGCACTTAGAAAACATGGGCTTTCCCCGCCTCCAGTCCTATCCTAGAGGGAACAGAGGCTTTTGTTGTTCAAGTGTAGATATGATTTTTTTGGTCTAGTTCCCTGTGGAAGATACGGTTTTGAGTCTTCCTTATGAAGAGTAAGGGAAAAAAAGAAAAAGCAAAGCAGGCAGCGGAGAGAAGCAGAACTTTTTCGTTGAGAATGTCAGAGATGCCAGCGACATCTTTCCCTTGATTACCCTGGAAGCAGTCAGTCACGGATCTTACTAGAAAGGAAAGTAGGTAAATCTTGGAACTGCTGAAGGCAGAAAAATAAGTCACCTAAAGGCATAGACACCAGGTTGCACCTCAGGCTGAGTTAAACTGCTGGTAGCAAATCCAAGTTCTTGAATTTTATCACGACAGGAAAAGCTATTGTGAGAACAAGTAAGGAAGAGAAGTAGGTATGTATTAGTGACAAAGAATGTTTTTAAATGAACGATTGGTTTTGGTGTTTGCTGACAGTTATGTTTCTCTATAATAACAAAGGAAGGCTGAGTTTAGAAGTCTCAGCTTGTGTGAGGAGTAAGGCAGAGCGTGAATGAATAGAGTTTGAGGGTTTTCTTATTCAAATGGAAAATCACAGTTATACCTCTGAGAAAGAGGCCAGAGCCATCCTCTTGGATCAGAGGCAAAGCACTGACCTGCTCCATGGACTCCTCGTGTCAGTGACTCCAGGTGTGGGAATCTCCAACCTCTGAAGCCCTGAATGTATTAAACAGGAGTCAGGGGAGAGTTTGGTGAAAACCTGTTCTACAGCCTCCAGCCCTTGCATGTTTCCAGCCTTCCTCTAGCTCAGATGGATGACTGCTTAGCGCAGTGAACTAGCGCATTATAGAGGTACTGCTTACAGGATGACTTCTCGCCCCGCCTCCAGATGGTGTTTTTTGGCTACATGGTTTTCAGCATCCTCTTTGGCGTCTTGGCTGACAGATATGGCCGTTGGAAGGTAGGTTGGCCTCGAAGGATGATTTGGAATTTTCTCTTGTGTGTCCTTTTATGGTGATGTCACCACTACTTTTCTTCAGGGGACATTTCTCTATTAATACCCAAGTTAGGAAGTAAGGAAATGTCCTTTGACATCACATGCCTGAATTCCAGGCTATCTTCTTGCTTTCTCACCTTTTCCCAAGATACTCGTCCCCATAGTGGTCCCCGTAGTCCAAGGTGTGCAGTTGATGGATGAGCATAGTTAGAACATAGCAGATAGAATGTGGCAATTTGCACGTAGAAACATGCGCAGTTTCACGAGTTAACTTGGGGATAGCTTTGAAACTAAGCCACTGGCTCCATGTCACACACCTATTGAAATTCAACAGCAAGACATAAACGTATGTCTTCTGATTGCAAACCCAGGTCTCTCTTCTCTTCTTGTCTGATTTCTGGTGAGCAAGACGGCTCTCGGCATAAAGTCTAAAGAAGACGTCCCAAAGCAAAACATCGATAGACGCCACTGCACGTTTTGAGTGCACAAAATAAATATCATAGACTCTTATAAATTAGTATGAAAACATAGGGATCTCAAAAACATGTGGAGAGCACAAGAAGGCATTTTACAAAAGGAGACATACAAATGGTCAAGAAACCCTGAAAAATGTTCAGTCACAGGAGTTATCAGAAACAAAATTGCATAGCAAGATACCATCTTTTTGTTATCAAAGCCATATCAAACTTCAAATCCAGAAAAAAATTTTTCCTTAAAGAAACCTGCAAATATCTAGACACCTTCACGTACAATTGATATAATTTTTCTGATCATCAGTCTGGCAGCATAAACCAAGAAGCTTGAGAATATTCATTCTCCTTATCTGATATTCACCTTCCAGAAATCTACCCTGTTTAGATCATCAGAGAGCCACAAAGATTTATCCACAGACAGCATCACAGCTAATTTTAGTATAAAATGTTACACCAGCTCACCATTCAACAACAGGGGAAAGGCTTATGCATTACATTACATGTATTATAGTATGTCTTGGCACTGCACTGTTTTGCAGCTAATAAAAATAGGTTTTCCCTTATAGTCAGTGAAAATAGGATAAAACCACATTAACAGTATTTTCTGTGGGTTGGAGAATCAAAGGTGATTTAAATATTTTTATTTCTTTTTCTTTTCTTTTTTCCATACTTACTACTATCAACTTGCATTATTCTTGTAATTGGAGAAAAAGCAAATCCCTTAAATTTTCTCCTTATACTCATTCCAACGTAAGGCTCCGCTGTGCTCCTGACAGTGCTGTGAGCGGGGAGGGCAGGCTTTTGTGTCTGATTTACAAGTTCGGGTTCCTGCCGTCTGTGAGGATGGATGCCATGGGGGAATTTTGAAGAATGGTCTAAGCTCAGAGCATCTGGACTTTCAGGCAGTAAAATGGTATGAACTATATTATCTGATGATGGGGGGAAATTAATGAGCCCACGAAAGATGCGGTCTATAGAGAAATAAACGTCTGGATGGAATTAGAGGTTAGAGGTTATGTTTTCTCCCCGACCTCCCGGGGGGGCAGGTCCCGGTAATGTCTCCTTTTGTTGCTTCAGATTTTGCTCATCTCGTTCCTGTGGGGAGCCTACTTCTCCTTGCTGACCTCTTTCTCCCCCTCGTACATCTGGTTTGTCTTCCTGCGGACGATGGTGGGCTGTGGCGTGTCCGGCCATGCGCAAGGGTAAAGACTTCCCCCAGGGGTCCCCGGGGGAGATGTGAACACCCGCACGTACTTACACATCCACTGTGGGTCAGGGACTAAGAGCCTCAATGAATTGCAAATTGATAGACTTCACTTGTGCTAATCAATTCTGGGTTTTTCCTTTTTCCGGCAATGGTTGCTTGTTCCACTGGGAGCTCTTTGCCCATCACAACGATGTTTAAGAGTGAGGCCAGCAGAGTGCTAGACCGAGCAGGTGTTAACTTTTTTGTTCCTAAGGCTGATAAACATTTTTTAGATAAATAATGTTTTGTTAGACTAAATGCTAACCAAAAATGTCCCATAAGGTAGGTCACAAAAATGTCAACTCAAACCCAATCCATTCATTTCTTGAGAATTTCTGGAAGAATTTAGTTTGGCCATAAGCACCTGTAACATTCAGGAATAACCATTTTAAAGGGCCGTTGCCTCGTAATTTAAGATTCTGTCAAAGTGAATTTGTAAACAGGTGAGATGTGTTGCAATAGCTATGACGCTTGTCTTTTCTCTGCGCTGGAATGAGTGTGTGACGGCTCATTGTGCCTGGCGGGGAAGTTATGCTAAATGTTCAGCAACTTGGGAGCCTCCCTTAAATGAACAAGGCCCCTCGAGCTATTCTCTCCTGGGCGCCTTGGAGCAAGTTACCCTTAGAATATATTAGGAGATGTTAAAGCACCTAATTATTACCCTAATGTGTTAGGGAAAAATTGTTCTTCCCTAAGGCATGAGTTAAGCATCACTCTGAGCTTTGGAGCCCTACAGGAGTAGAAGTTAGGCAGAATTTTAAAACATCCCTTAGGAGGTAAGTCAATAAATATGTTAAAACTCCAAACCCTGGTTCATAACTGCAACAGAGAAGAGTAATCAGAAAATGGATGGGATATGATTCCATTTATTCTGCCATTCACAAAATTAATACATACTTAATTAGAAACCTGTGCTTTGACTGTCATCATCAGTTTGGGAAACTATTCACTGTCTCTTGGGTGTATTTTAATTTCCCATGTATGTTTTAGAAAAGGGAATCAGGCCTGGCAAAACATTTTGCCGATGTTTCTCTTGGCAAAAGAAATAAGGCTAATATCTCCTAAAAGGTAGAAAGTTTAAAATAGCTTTGGGAATAAAAATTAAACAGAAGAGCATTTAGAATTTAATTTTTTACTGTTTTCAAAGATGGGTTAATAATTCTATTCTAGTGTCTGTGTAGGAAAACTCTTCTGTTTTTCTTTACATACTCACCCAATACTTCTAATGATACTTCGCTTCTGACACCAAACGTGTGGGGTTTTTACACACCAACCAATGCTCCAACGCCAGCTGAATGCCTTGTAATTGCATTCGATTCGGACCCTCACTGGGTTAGCACGGACCCCACAGATTTAGGGCTCAGTCCCATAAGACTCCCCGACTTCAGATACTAGCCACAGGCACCAGGTTACCCCCAGCTTCTGACTTGTTACAGATTAGATGTTCTCACAAACTCCTCCTCAAATTCCACACATCGCTGGAGTGGCTCACAGAGCCTAGGAAAGGGGCGTACTTACTGCAGTTTATTACAAAGGATGTTTTAAAGGACACAGGTTCGGGGAGGGATTAGCTCAGTGGTAGCATGTACGCTTAGCCTGCACGAGGTCCTGGATTCAATCCCCAGTGCCTCCATTAAAATAAATAAATCAAATAAAAACCTAATTACCTCCTGCCCAAAGAAAGACTGATTAAAAAATTAACAAATAAAATTTAAAAATAAAGGACACAGATAAACAACCAGATAAGGAGACACATACAAGACAAGGGCTAGAAGGGTCCCAAGAGCAGGAGCATTTGTCCCTGTGGAGTTTGGGGTGCACCACCCTCCTGGCACATAACTGTGTTCACCAGCCTGGAAGCTCTCAGAACCCTCTACGTTAGGAATTTTTCTGGAGACTTCCTCACGTAGGCATGATTGATTATTAACTCATTTTTCCAGCCCCTCTCTTCTCTCCAGAGGAGGGGGATAGAGCTGAAATTTCCAAGATGCTAGTCATGGCTTGGTTTCTTTAGACCACCCCCCACCCAGGAGCTCATCATGTATCACCTCATTAGAATAAAGGATACTCCTGTCAACCAGGAAATCCTAAGATTTTCAAGAACTCTGTGTCAAGATCTGGGGTCAAAGACCAAACATTAGCAGAAACCAGGGCAGAAACCAACACACATATTTCTTATTACTTTACAATGATGAATATCATGTTTTTGAATTCTTTATCCCTATGACAGGAAAAATTATGACGTTTTAAAAAAGTTATTTGGTTTTATAAAAACAAAATTGTATTTCCCCCCCTTCCTGTTTAGGTTAATCATAAAGACTGAATTTTTGCCTACAAAATATCGAGGCTATATGCTCCCCTTGTCTCAGGTAAGGCAAAATTCTCCCCAGACTTCTGATCCTATAGGATATGCAGTACATGGTGTTTCTTCTGGCCGGTTGATTGTTCTTTGATGCACACACTGCCTATTACTTGGTACCAACTGAAGAGCATTAGGAATGCTGGACACCAGCGGTCCAATTGCAAGGTTTTCCGAGCCAGGACTTCTGTCATCCAGCAGCAGCGTTTAGAACACAGTAACCTCTTCCTCAGTAACCAGGACACATTCCGCTGGCTGGTTTTGCTGCAATGACAGAAGCTCAGGGATGCATCTGGGGTGAACATTTCTCTCCTGGAAGAGTCTTCAGTGGAGGGACACAGCTACCAGCCCCGTTACAGTCCCCCTTCCTAGAGCCTGCAAGTCCACGACTGGCCCATGCCTGTGGGAACTTCCATAATAGCTTCCTCCCAGCTGAGCCATTTATCCAGGGGAGAAGACGGGGCTGCCCCACGCCCTCCTCAGACCCTGCTGGCCACCCACTAGAGGTTTTGGATCCAGAAGCTACATCAACCTAGATGCCCTTGTACCACCTTTGATGCCACTGTTATCCAAAAGCCCTGGCTTCAGAGGGCCCAGGAAAGTGATGACTTCCCACTGAAGCATTCTATGTTTGGCAATAATTAAAGCAGGAGGAATCTATTGTAAAATCTATTTTTAAATTTTTCTGATACTAAATTTAGGCAACAAAAATATTCGAAAGGACCTAACAAACACCAAATGCTAATTCTTTAGATCCCTCCCAGGTTTCTTCTTCTGATCTTTGTTCAGATGAATGTCCACACTTCGAAGAGTTGGTGGTTGGATTTTACACTCATGTTGTTTAATGCACAGGATCCCATTCAGGCTCATCAGTGAACATTCTCCCTTCCACCTGTTACTGTTTGTCACGCTTCCTGCTTGTGTCTCCTCCTTGGGTCATCTGATTGATGACTCCAATGGTTTTAGCTTTCTATGTGCCTGTCACCCCCAGAATCTTTATCTCCAGGCAAGAGCACCTCCCTGGAATTCAGACCCTGGTGGCCAATGACCTGATATCCTACAGGCTCCTCAAATACAACATTCACTCAAATCACTCTCTATCACATTACTCTATTTTTTTTAAAGCCCTCATCACTTTCTGAAATAATCTTTTTTTTTAATAATAGAAATCTTTGGTGATGAAATAGTCACTGCTTAATTATTTCCCTATAGGATCTTTTATTACATTATCTTCTCTCCACCTCTGTGAGGTGGAATGGAGCTACTGTCTACTCCTCATCTTCCAACAGGGAAATAATGCACAGGATAGCACTCAAAATTGTTCTAATTCCCAGCTCCTGGGACGCCTGGTCATAGGTGGCTGCCATGCTATTTGTTGATATAAAATGATCTCCAAGAGAAATTTTTCAGCACAAAAAGCAGTGTTGAGAAATGTTTATACTGTGTTACCATTTGTGAACAAAGAACACACAAAAAATTTGCCCTTGTTTAGTGAACAGCTGTGGAAGAATATAGGAAACAGATCTGTTCACAGAGCTCTCCTTTGTACCTTGAGTTATGAATCATTGAATGTAGTGTTTATTCAAGAAAAAAAGTCAATGTCTTGGGTGCCAGATTTTTTAAACTTTAGTAAGATATTGTAGACTCCCTGTTTCTCTGAGTCTCCCACTGACCGACCGGCCGAGGAGAAGTGAGGTGACTTTCCCAGTTCATCCAGGTCCTGGAGGTCGTGCTGGGGGTAGAACGGGAACCATCTGCTCCTCGATCAAAGCCTCGCTCCCATCTCACCCTCTTACAATTATAACGCTGGGCAGGGCGGTCCCCGGAGAGGCGGGGAGCACATTGGATGGGAGGACGTGAACCTTGCCTCTCCCCCCAGGTTTTCTGGCTGGCAGGTTCCCTGCTCATCATCGGCCTGGCCTCTGTGGTCGTCCCCACCATCGGGTGGCGCTGGCTCATCCGCATCGCCTCCATCCCTGGCATCATCCTCATCATGGCCTTCAAGGTGACCAAGCTCCAGGGGCTCCTTCGTGTCCTCCCCTCCAGCTGACCCGGTGGCCTTCTTGCCCCCACAGACATCTTTCTCATGTCCACTCTTTCCTTTATTTAAGTATCTGTCTCAGTCAGCTTATGAGGAAAGGCTGTTTGGCACGGTTAATGCACCAGCCCAGTATGAAGGTGTAAAAGTGCATTCTCTTTGCTGGGGAGCGGGTACGCCAGAATGGCTGGAGTAGGGTGCTGGTGGGAAGCTGGCTGGAAAGACAGGCCTGTGTCCAGATTACCAAGGACCTTGAGGGCCAGGGACGCTGGGGGAGTGGAAGGGATTATGTGTGAGGAGCTGGTACATGGCTCTGTTGGGGCTGGGCAGATGGGAAGATGGAAAAGATCAGAAAAGCAGTTAGAATTTATCAGAATAATCCCAGTGGGGGACGAGGAGGACCTGAACTGCCCACTGGCTGGGGGATGGGGAGGAGGGTGCTGCTGGGGGAGATTTTTACTGAGGAAGAACCCCAGGCCTTGACGAGGGTGAGGCACAAGACGCAGGGAGCCGTCCAAGCTGATTCTCAAGGTCCCAGTGTCAGTGGAGGGCTGAGCTGCTTTCTGAGTGTGGTCAAAATATTCAACCATCAGTAAGTTGAAGGCCTCTGCAGGCCCTACCTTGGTCACCCTCACTTGCTGCACTGCAGGAGAGGCTGGGGATTCCTGGGGAGGACCAGGAGACTCAGCGGTGGAGATGCTGGGTGACCGGGCAGTGGCTGTTTACAGACTGGATGTAAGGATTTCACTGTGTTAAGTAGGTTGGGCCAAACAGGTGCAAAGCTCAGTATCAGTCCACCGTCATCCAAGAGGACCAGGTTGGGGAGAAGGCAACCATCTTTATCCCACTTTGATTACAGGAGTACCCCAGCTGTATTGTTGCCTTAAAGTTTGCTACATCCTTCCCCATCTCTGGATTCTGGGACAGTGTAGCATAAGGAGCCTTAAGAGCTGTACCCCTGGGGTTCACAGAAGTTGCAACTCTTACGTCCTTTGTTGTCTGTGTCCAGTTTATTCCTGAGTCTGCTCGGTTCAACGTCTCCACTGGGAACACCCAGGCTGCCCTGGCCACGCTGGAGCGCATTGCCAAGATGAACCGCTCAGTCATGCCGGAGGGGAAGCTGGTGGAGCCCATCCTGGTGAGTTCTGCTCCCCAAGCCAGGGGTCATCAGAAATCCCCTTAGTCGCTGAAGGCTAGAGGAAAGGGGACCTGAGCCCTCTAGTCCCGCTCCTGGAGGGACTAGAGAAAACGGCACAGTAAACAGACTGAATCCAGCTCCACTGTGAGCAGGTGGCGCTAAGTTACTTACCGTCTCTTCTCTCAGCAAGGAAGTGGAAATAACGCCTCCTCTCTGGCAGAGCTAGTCACATGATTTAACACCACTGTTTACAGGTGATTGTTTTATAATTTTATCTTCCTTGTACTGACCTGGTCTTATTTTGATATCAAATACATAAACCTCATTAAGTGATTTTTGTAAAACAAAATTTGGCATTTAAATCCTGTTGGTTCCACAACTCTCACGGTCAGTCTGCAGTCGTTCCTCACACCAGCCCAGACCACCCACTTCACCCCCACCCCCCGGCAGGCGGGTCAGCCACAGGCTGCTGGGACAGCGTGACCAGCACCGCCTTCCGCACCTGCCCTGCCATCGCGGCAGCAGTTTAGGTGAGATAGGAATTCTCCTCTTTGAATGTTTGTTAAAACTTACCTATAAAGTAGTTTATGCCTAGTACGTATTTTAAGGTGACTAGTGAGATGATGATTAGGGGGTGCCAGAAGGAGGAGTTTTAAAAACTATCATTCAGTTTGTGTAAACATCTGCTTGTGTTTAATACTCTTGATTGAGTTCATTTTGGTAATATGTATTTTAGAAAATTACCCAGTTCATCTAGGTTTTCAGATTTATTGACATAAAATTACTTCTAGTGTTCTCCTATAAGTTTCAGAAACCTACTGTATATGTTCTCTTTTTCATTTTTAAAAATCATTTTATAATAGATAAGTGTCCTGAATCATTGCATTGTATACCTTGAACTTACACAATGGCATATGTCAATTATATCTCATAAAAGCATCTCACTATTTGATCTACAGAATCTTGTCACCTTCCCCACTACTGTCTCGCTTTTCGGTTTGTTCTCATTTCTGCAACTAAAGCTTTTGGTTTGTTGTTTTTTTGGTTTTTTTGTTTTGTTTTGTTTTTATTGAAGTGTAATCAGTTTACAATGTGTCAATTTCTGGTGTACAGCATAATGTTTCAGTCATAGTATACATACATATACTCCTTTTTCATGTTCTTTTTCATTATGGGTTACTGCAAGATACTGAATACAGTTCCCTGTGCTGTACAGGAGAAATGTATTGTTTACCTGTTTTATATACAGTAGTCAGTATCTGCAAATCCTGAACTCCCAGTTTATCCCTTCCCACCCCTTTCCCCCTCTGGTAACCATAAGTTTGTTTTCTATGCTTGAGTCTCTTTCATTTTTAATATTGCATATTTATGCCTTCTCTCTCTCTCTCTTTCTCCTTTGTGGTCCTCTTACTGGAGGTTTGTCTATTTTGTTAAACTTCAAAGAATGAGATTTGTTTTGGTTGTTATTCTCTTTATTGATTTTTTTTTGTGGTTTCATTCATCTCTACTTCTTATTTTGTTTTCTTCTTTGGCTTTTTATGTTCTGGCTTCTTGAGTTCAGTATTTAGCTCATTTGTTTTCAGTCTTTTTGATTTTGGATAAACCATTTAGCTGCATTCAGCAAGTTTTGTTGTGGAGTAATTTTATTTTTATTTCTGTTATGAGTTTCTCCTTAACCAACGAGTTACCTGTTAATGGTCTTTTCATTGTTTCTAATTTAATTTCATTTTGGTCAG